CAGCAGGAGCATCATCAAGGATAGTTTCACAAATTTGTTTTTATTTATGATTTTATAAATTCAGCTACAGAACCACATGCAGTTACGTAATTACCAACCCGCCATGCACGTGGCCAAGCACATAAACGACTTTAAGACTAACACTTTTAACCTACGGACGTATGTGACGAGAATCTCCGTCGACTACTATTTGGGTGTGTCTTCTCATGACAAAATTCAAACTTGGACCAATTTTTTTTTGCAAAAGCTTTGTTACTTTGCAATTTTGCAAGCACCTTAGGCATCCTCATCTCAGCATGGTTGAAGCGAGGAATTGTTGCTTTTCATAAACGCTGTGCATGCATGCGATCATGAACCCCTCAACGGAATTGTACAGAAAAGTGCGTCTTTGCGAACTCGATTTCATGTGTATGTATTTGTAATGGATGCAGTAAGTACTCAGAAGTGCATGAGTTTTGGAAGTGAATTAATGAAGTTTAATTTGACAAATCCTTCGTACTGACAGGTCCATCTGGACAGAATCTTCCAGTTGGCACTGGAGGCTAATCGCTAGGTTGACTTAGGACACACTTACTTTGGAGTGATGCATGATGAAGATGTAAAGCAATTTTCGGAGAGCTTTCTTAGGACACGTTTCTTCAAAATTAAGCTTTCGCCATGTTTACGCATTTACTATCGTCAAGGCAGGGTACATCGAGGCCACAAGCTGCCATTCCGACATAAAATATATCTCAGTGAGTAAAAAAGACGATTTCTCTTAATTTTAGGCGTGGCTGCCGGTGCGTAGAATGAACAAAAGCAAGTAGTGTTATAACAAAAATCCTTATTCAAAAGGGATTTAGTCGGTTTAGCTGACACTAGAAGCTCTGCATTTGCAATGTTACCATCCACATGACTTGGAGTGAAAGTTGTTATCTCTACGCTGGTGCTGCAACACTACTCTTTCACTGTTTGAATAGCAAAATGCTTGAAGTACTCGGGTCGCGCCGACGGTAGGATGAAAAGCCTTGGCCGAGATATCAGCTACTGCCTGTTTAACTGAAGAGTTTTGTGCAACACTCTTGGGACCTCCTCCATTCCTGTGGTCTACACCACAGCTATTAACAACCGGTAGGACTGCATTCGCGAACCCTCCAAAAGGTCTACTAGGTTGCTGTCTGTTAAACCTGTTTAAGGATAAATAAGTACCTAAAATGTTTATACCTCATAGCGTCCTTTTCTGGTTGTATTGGATCCACGTAGAAAATTGGGTCCTGCACATCCGATGACGAACAAAGTGATAAATGGGAAAGGAGGCGAGGCATAATTTTCCTGTGAAAAAGTGTATGAATGTACTTTGGTCTAAATAGGCTTGTGTGGCAACCAGTATTTTCCTCCTGTGCCACCATAGTTTCCAGACTTAGGGGATCCAGAGGGACCTGCCACTTTACGGTCTGGGACAATCATTGCGCAGAGTAAATTAATGCGAATAGTGGAGATGACTCTCAAAAGAGAGAGCATTTGGTAGTGCTCTTTGTTTCACTTTCGTTGTCAGTTTAAAATTCTCCCTCTGACTTCCAATGATGACATGATCTTTGAGCCGCTTCATGCTTAAACTATTAGGGAGAGCTAATTATGGAGATGTTCGCTGCGGCTATGGAAGCATCATCAATCCTGCACTCACTTATTGTTCTGTCCACAAAGCAGTGCCCCGTAAACCATTTCTAGACAGGTTTGAGTACCCATTAAACTCATTGCGGAGCCCTGATAGCTCATAAAAACTGCACTAGTAATAATAATAATGATAACAAAATGTTCATAATTGCAATAATCTTTTGAATCCTACATGGGCACTTTAGATTGTTCTTAAAGGGAAGTGACAAAGTCCCATTTCTCGTATTCAAACGTGCTGTCTTTATTCTAAGCAAAGCTTAATTAAACGAAGCTGTGTTGGTCTTAAAATCGACGAGTTGCTTCTATAGATGTGACCAAGTCATCTGAATCAACTCACCTCACTCCAACAACTCCATCTACCGTGTCACTTCTAAGGCACTCAAATTTATGACGTTATTCAGCGACTAGGGAATTAAATTAGGGTCACATAGGGGTGTTCATATTTCCTCCTTCGCCATCAGCTTGGAATGCATTTGATGATTCTGCAGTGCTACAGACAATTTTTAAGCAACTGTTAGAGTCATCCTCCTTTTTGTCCCTCCATTAGATACCAGATGAATGATACCAACTTTACTGAACCCAACGCACTGACCAACAACATCAAACCTCTTTCCAGGAACCGCATCAAAGCAGTGAACAGACCAGACGGGAAGGACAACACATCCCCCTACCCATATGTGCTTCAATCTAACCTTGTCATGCAGTCGTCTTTCCCTCTTCAACACATCAAATGCCTCATTCGAGGCTATCCTCAATCAAACTTCACACACTGCCACACATTAATAGCCATTCGTGTGTAGAACACGCTTCAGCCAGACGATTTGATAGTCCTAATTCTGGACCTGCATTTATGTGAAGTGATGATTTGTCCAATTTTGAAGCGATCCTTCGTCACAGCATGGGAATTTCATTTTGTTTAATTTAGGTATTCACATACATTTGTGCACTTCAGTCTGCTAACATACTTAGGACCGGTGGATTCCGTCATCTAAATTGTCCTGGGTTTTGCCTCTACTAAAAGAGAAGATAAAAGCTCCGGTGGGTTAAAGGAAGTCTATGGCAATTAATTTTAAATTCCCTTTGAGTATGGGTCTTGTTAAAACTTAGAGAGAAGTTACTTGAAACTAATTTTTACCGTCTATTAGGGAAGGCACATTGGATGCATTTAATACTGTAATCTTGCTATCAGTCTACGAGGATATGATAAATTCTCGTACTTTCTCTCTCTATACTCACATCGGTAGGTTGTGTTAATTGCTCCAAGTTGACCTGGAACTTTTAAAGATAGGAAGGAAGGAAGGAGGTTGATCCTATGAAAGGCCTGCAGTGAAGGACACTCATGGCATCAACCTCTTATCCATTAAGGCATAAGGTAATTGCTGGTGAAGCTACCAGAGGCACGAGTCACCAGTAGGCACGCGTGTGGCTTTTCTAAGGCAATCACTCTGGTCGGACTGTTGTGCTGTAGAACCAACAAACTGTTGCCAAGCGCCCATGTAGTAGTGCACTCTAACACTCATGTGGACATGGCACCGAAATTTATCGTGAAAATTAAAAGTTGGGCATAACTACGACTCCACTGTTAATAGGTATTGTAAACTCCTTACCCTAGATGTAAAAATAATTCTTTAACGAATTTTAAAGCTTAAAATTGACGCTTGTACTTCTAATTACGGTAGACTGGATGGATGAATAAGTTTGTGCACTTCTCTAAACAAAATATATGCAGATCAGGTTGTGCTGAGGGATTCGCCCAGTTTAGTCCAACGAACTGCTATGATAGCGCCAACAATTATCTCAGCATTTGGTCAATAGACTGAGAGGTCAGAGGGTAATCAACAGCTGACCTTACTCCCTGCCGTTTTATCCACAACTAAACAGTAGTCCATTGGGCGAATAATTAAGCTAGACACTTCAGAAATACTCTTCAATGATAGACAGATAGAATGGGCAAAGAAATTCTTCTTGCAGCTATTTGACAAGTGCAGCTTATGAAGGATGAAAAGTGTAGCCCAGCTAAGATGGCAGCTCGGTAGCCTCTCCGCTGGTGGAATTTTGGGCATGACAATTGAAAAAAAGAAGGCCAGGTATTCATGCAATCATTTTAAAACACATAATCAAGTTTACATTTTTTTCGGACAAATTCGTCCATCGATGTAACGATGCTTGTTGTGGTATCAAATTCTGACTAACACTTTTAACCAAACGCGATCACATTGTCTTGTCAGTCCTTTCCACAAATACAAAGTCTGAAAACCGCCGTAATTTACTAGACTACCGCACAAACATTTACTGGGGCCGAATTTCGCATCGCTCCATTTGCCTCTCTTTGTCCGGGCGGCTAGTGCAGGATGCTGTGACCTATGAGAATCCCATGCTCCCTTTCATCTCCACAATCCGGCACAATGAACAAATTGTCAACAATTTTGGGTATGACTGCTCTAAGCTGCTAATACGGATCCGCTTTGAGACTATCGTGATTTTATTAGACAACCAAGATGGGCTTAGACTTTTCCAAGAAGTTTGATTATTTTTTTTTTTGGGGGGGGGGG